CACCAGATCCATGGTAATGTGTGTCCACTTCCCTTCGGGTACCTGGAGGGGATGCAGTAATCCGCGCGGTCGCAGCCCTCCGCCTTGGTCCGCTGACACGTGTCGCATGTCCTAATGTATTCCCGAGCGTCGTTGGCCATGCCGTTCTACGTAAAATGGCGGTTCAGTCGTTCCGTCATTCTGGTTCTCCCTAGGTGTCCCGCCAATGGGGCATCGCGCACTTCCCATAGTATCAAGGTCCTTAACTTGACGTTGTTCGGCACCAGAACCTTCCAGCCTGCGGCTCCTTCCCGCTTCCATAGGAGCCGGTTCTTTAATTTGTACGTCTCGCTTCCTCCTCGTGCTTCCTCGGCGACTTGGGTTAGGTCCTCGTCCTCGCGTAGAGTTGTCTCATACAGCCGTTTGAAGCCTCGATGCTGAATATTATACCACGCTCGCGACTCATTCCTGGTGATGGCGTTGGCCTGCCAGTCGTCAACGGAGTCGTCAGGGTCGTCACGATTTGTGTCGGTCTTGGGTTGTCGAGATAAGGCGTTAGCTGCACCATTGCAACTTCCCTTTAGGTAGTGTATGTCGAAATCGTAGTCTTGCAAGAACTCGCTTCAGCGCGCTTACCTCATAGTCAGATTATTCTATGTTTGTATGCGCCATATAGTCTAGTGGCCGGTGTGTAGCTAGAAACGTCTTCCCTGCAAGAAATGCCACCAGGTTTGTAGCGTGTGAATAGTAGCCAGCCTCTCTTTGTCGTAAGTGCGATAGCGTGTCTCGGCTCCTCCGAGTCGTTTGGACATGTACTCCGCTAGTTGCTGTCCGCCTCCGTGGTCTTGCATCAGAACTACTACTGTCGCGAAGTCGCTGCCATCAGTCATGACGACAAAGGGCAAGTCGTCATTTTGGCAGCTGTAGCACGGGCGCCGTAGTCAACCGGTCCTTTAATGTTTGGAAGGTTATTACCTGTGCATCTCCCCATGCAAAGGGCTCACTCATCTTGGTGAGGTCCGTCATAGGTTTTGCTATGGAGGCAAGCCCCGGCACAAAACGTCAATGGAAGTTTGCCAGCCTGAGGAAAGCTCTTACGTGATGCACATGCTTCGGCGTTATCCACTCTTGAACTATTTTGATCTTCGAGTCATCTGGTCGGGCTCCATGCTTCCCGACCACCGCCCCCAGAAACACCATCTCTTCAACTACAAAGGAGCCCGTGTTCCCGTAAGCGTCTCATGACGATTCGCAGATTGCTCCATGTGTTCTTTCATGTCTCGGTTGTACATGAGTATGTCGTCCAGATATGTGACAAGGAAAGTGTCCACCACGTCGCCAAAGACTTGGTTCATATACTGCTGAACGGAGCTTGGTGCGTTGCACAACCCAAATGGCATCACCAGATATTCGTAGCTTCCGTGCCATGTAACGAAGGCTGTCATTGGTATATCTTCTTCCCGTATTTGTATCTGGTGGTAGCCGGATCGTAGGTCCATTTTACTGAAGACGGTAGCCTCCGCAAGCCTGGCCATGAGGTCGTCGATTCGGGCCAGGGGGTGCTGGTCCTTGACATGCCTTTTGTTCAGAGCCCGGTAATCAATGCACATCCATAGCCCGCCATCTTTTTTCTTCACGAATAGTACTGGAGCTCCCCGTGGTGAATTTCTTGTTGTATCAATCCGTCATCCAGCAGCTCTTTAATTTGTCACTTTAACTCGTCGTTTTCTTTTGGGGAGAGCCGGTATGCGGGTGTATGTGCAGGTTTGGCATCGGGTAGCAACTCGATGTTGTGTTCTGGTCTCCCTTCGGGTGGTAGTCCTAGCCATAGTTTGTCGCTCATAACTTCTGTAAATTCCTTCAATAACGTTTCCTTGATATGCTGGTCTTTGTCATCCTTTATTGCCTCTTTGTGGGTGGTTTCTCTTATTACCACCACATAGGTTTCCGTTCTCCTCTTCAGGGCTTGAGACAGCCCTTTTCTCGACAGGGTGATTGCATTAATCCTCTGGGTTTCTTCATTGTCTTCCCGTAACCCGTTCAGTACTCGTAGTGCTTTTACGTCTTTGATCTGTAGTGTGTTGGTCTTCCAGTCGATTCTCGGGTTGAATTCGCACAGCCATGGTACTCCCAGAATTGCGTCATGACGTCCCGATTTCGTAACTTGGAAGGCGGGCTGGCGTTTGAATTCATTGATTCGCAGCTTGTAATTATCCAGCCCCCACTCGGGTTCGTGCTTTATTGGCCCGTCTGCCAGGTATAGCGTTTGGACGTCGCCCTTATCTCTCCAGCGTATGCCGTACTGCTCACAGAATTCTTGGCTGATGAAATTTCTGGTATCTCCGCTATCGATCAGCACTCGGATTCGCTGCCCTCCTAGCATCCCCTTGAAGCGAAGCAGCTTCCCGTGCTTCAGCTGCATCTCGTTGATTTTTCCTATCGGGTATTTCCTTTTTGATGACTCCTGCCGTGCGTCAGCCCACCGCTCGTAGTATAGCCGTATTTTGTTGTATTGTCTCCAATTTCGCGGCTTCTCATACAGGCCCATTTCGTAGACCGTTGCCACCAGCGCGCTTGTCTTCCCCTCCAAGACTCCAGCGCTTTGTTTATCGCTTCTTCTGTCGTCACCTCTAAGGAGCCCCCATCGGCTGGCTCCCGTCCGTTGTCATCTCCACGTGGTTTTCCCGCTATTCTTTGTTGCGCCATTCACACACACTCGGGGCCCTTGGCCCTCGTATCCCGGTTCTGTCAAATTGCCCTTTTGGATCAACGGGTTCCATACGGTTTCCTTGTTTGCCGCGATGACTCCCGTCCCTCAACAATTCCTCTTCTCCACCATACCCCCCGGCTCAGTTTTCCCACCGTTTTCTGTTCTGCCATCCTTGCACACCCAGGTCTTGCGGCCACATCTTCCCGGCGTTCTCAGGCTGTCCTTTTGGATTGATGGAACCATGCGGTTTCTTTTCATGTTATCCGCTGTGATGGCCACCCCTCAACAGTTCCCGCCTCACGCTGCCGCCGCAGTCCTTGACTCGGTGGGTCAGCTCCTCGCAAAGCGCCCGAGTCAGGAATCTTGGCCTCGTGCCCCTCGGGCAGCGTGTCCACCTGTCATCCCTTGTGTGGTCTCGGCGTGTGCCCACCATTACGAGTTGGGAACCGGGCTGTCCCCACGGTACACGTGAGGCCGGTCCCTGACTGTCATAAGCCTATCATTCAAGCCACAGTCCACCAAAACTGCAGGCCATACAGGCGGCGCTGCCAGTGCCCAGCGTGCAGTGTGCTCAGCGAGCGCCGCGCAATGCGGCGCTGTGCCCAGTGCCATTACAGGCAGGCAGCTGCTCCTTGCCATGCTCATGCGCCCACTGTGCGGAACGTGCCCAGCGCCTTGAGATCTGCTCATCTTCTTGGCCACCGATGGCAAGGGCGCCGACCCTGGATCGCCACGAAAGTTAGCTGCTGGCCAACGGAAGGGAGCCCAATGGAAGTCGGACCTCGGAGGGAAAGGTGCGTGGGGTGCTGACAAGCCCAACCTCTTCGTTTGGATCGTTAGCTTGGTGCGATTGTGCCAAATTGCACAAGCATCGATTGCCCAATTCCCGTTGGAATGGGCTGATCTCAGCGCCAGGGTTTTGCCCGTGCGACGAGCGAGCGAGCTGAAAACGTCGCATGTCAGTTGCTGAGTTCTTTTTGTGTGCTTTCTGTCGTCCCAGCATAAATTGCGCTGGGCCATTAGCAATTGCGGCTGGGCCGGCGGAAATTGTGCCAGGGCCGGCGGAAACTACGCTTGGACCGACGGGTAGCAGGGGTACGATGCCTAAGTGAAGGGCATCCCAAGCGTCGCTTGCATTGTCTTGATCGCCGATGTCCAGAATTGCTTTGTGGGGAGGGCTTACACCTGATCATCTCGCCGTTTCTTCGTCCAATCCGTGCATGCTAGGTTGGCCAAGTCGCGGGCGCTCTGCGAGTCGGGTTTGGCGCCTTTTGCGTGCAGTTCTGCTGGACCTTTCGTGCGTTCTTTCCGGTCCCGCCACCTTCGCCCCGACGCGATGCGCGTTGCAATACTGCGGCTGCCAGCTCGGCGCTGGCCGGTACAGAACGGAACACGTTGGGGGAGTGGGAATCGCTGGGTGGTGGGACCTACGGGGCGTGGTTCAGATTTGTCCCGCCCTCGTGCCAGCGCGGGGATACATACTGCCTGCACCAAATCGTTGATTGTTTGCGCTAAGTCACGTGCGCGCTAGGTCCTCACCTCAGTTTTAGGTTTAGTTTTAGGTTGGGTTTTAGGGTTAGGGTTAGGGTAGGTTTAGGTTTGGGGCTTACGGGTTAGGGTAGGCTAGTTTTGGAGGGATTTGGTGCAAGCAGACACCGATTTGGTGCAGCCAGTAGAAAACAGGATGCCACCTGTGTCCTTTGGACTATTGCACCTGGGCATTTGGGAGGGACAATTGACTAGAGGCGCATGACCGTCAAATTACCAAATGACCCGTCATTTTCAGCGGCTGCGCACCAGCCGCCAACGCCTCTCCATTGTGCCCATCCACCAGCCACCAGAAATCACACATCCAATTCTTGTGCCAATTACGAGCCCAACAGTCTTGTAGAAACGCAATGTGCGGGGCCGAGCCCAGACGAATGGTATGATGTAATGTTGTTACACGTGTGTAGTGGTACAAAATTTCAAAATAGTGGTACAGATTGTCTCTGGCCCATGGCGAGAGACGATTGTGTTCATGGTAGCGGCTGCGCATCAGCCACCCACCCTTCTCCAACAGGAGTAGAATAGTTCTCCCAATCAGTTTCCGTTCAACCAGTAAGTTCTCTTGCCAGCACCTCCTTCCCGATGCTCCAATGCGCCTGCCACCAGGCGATCCATCCACTCACCGCTCACGTTTCCTTTCACAACTCTCAGAAAACCAACCCAGTTTCTTGCGAGGAGGTTGCAAACCCTCGGACCCTGCCACCCCAACGGCCGCCCCCGCGTCTCACAATGCCAACCAGATCGTTTCCCCATCCGAGCCAGATCATTTCACGTCGCCACGCGCCAGCGCAAAGCCCTCCTGCAAGGGGGCCGCGATGGCGACCGCAACGGCAGCCACGTAGCCATCCCCAACGCACTCATTTCCATCCATTGCTTCCTGCCGCGCCTTGGCGAACGCGCCGGCCAGCGCGTTGGCCAGAAACAGCGCCTGAGATTCCTTGTCGCTGGTCACTTCGTGCGCAAAAACTCCTGCCATCGCCTCGGACAGGCCACTGTAGAGGATCTCCGCGCAGGCGTCCCTGCCGTACTTGCGGCAACCTTGGCCGGACCCCGGGATCGCCGCCCCGGCGCCGGCGTGGTAGTCGACGTAAATCTCCGACACTTGGCAAGCCGCCCGCGCGGCGACGTCGCTCGTCGAGGCGGCGCCGTCGGCGTTGAGCAGGGCGGCGGACAGGACCTCTGCGACGCTGTCCTTGGCGCCCTCCAAAGCCTGCATTGCCATGAGTAGAGAGAAAAATTCAGTTCCTGCACATTGTTGCCATTCTTTTTCGTCCATTGCGAAGCATGAATGCTGTATTATGTGCTTTATTATTTCTTCATTGTCGACATTGACGGCTCCAACATGTACCTGGCTGGGATTGGCATGTTCGATAGTTTTCTTACATCAGAAGCAACATGTTCCCACACTCCCTTCTGCCGGTTCGACAACCACACTTGTCCCAGATCGTGGCTCACCTTGGAAAAGGAGTAAGTTCTGCCAATGGCCTCCCTTCCCCCCGAGGACGGCACGTCGGATGTTGCCCTCCCAGCGGCCACGGTCTCACCTCGGTGCACGGGCGGGCAGGGAGCAGAAGTGATGCATGGAGTGGACGGGTTGTCGGGAATTTCTTGGCCGTCGCCCACGCCAGAATGGCAATTTCCGGACGGTGTCTGGGAAGCACACTCCGCCTTTTCGCCATGGACTTCTGCGGTGAACGTGAGCCGCGAATTATGCAACAGAACGGCGTTAATGGAATTGGAACATGTTTTAGGGGTGTCGACGTGCCGCTGACGCGCTCTTCGATGCAGTATTCTTCTAATAAAAGAATATCGAAATGTTGCACATTAGGTAATGCAGCAAATGGTAATGCCTCCGATCTTATACCAACAAGAAGTGCTGAACCAGTACACGGGTGAGTCCAAAATGATGTCCAGTTGCATTTGGTGGGTCTGTGCTGTGCGCAAGGCGACAGAGACAGTGGCCGTTGACCGCAGGTGATGCCATCAGGGGGCGTCAAGCTACTTCGCCTGTTCTAAGACATTTACACCAGCGAAAAGTTTCGCAACGTTGCTTAAAATAGCAAGCAACACCCCAGTAATCATTGAACCGAGAAGTGGCTCCAGTGGGAATACTCACCATTAATGCCATCTTTGGAATTATTTTCTGTTCCGTCAGGAGCCTGCGAGCAGAAAACAGCAATGAAAGAGTTTAGCGGGCAACCAGGACATGTGCGACATATTGCTGAAACTGGCCACCCCAACATGGCTATGTTGCAAAGCCAATAGGCTTTGGGTTTTTCTCATTTCTGTGAACTCGTACCAACTATCGCATCCTGTTTCGTGTGGACGATCGTGCGAGCTTCAGATTGCCGTCCTGTACAACAGCATGGAGGCGCGTGATCTGTACATACGGCGATCATCCATGCTTGAAACTGTCATGAGATCCATGTTGACAGGTAAACTCTGAAATAACTCACTAGCCAGATATTCTTATCCAGATATTTAGTATCCAGGAATTATTATAGATGCTCAGTAAAATACTCTGTGTCATTGAAGTTGAGGCGCTCACCGGTGACGAAAGAATCAGAACAAGGCAGATGAAGGCAGAGATTCGAAGTCCCTTGTAATACGTGTCCAGCTTCGTCCAAATCTCTGAGATTCCTAAAAGGAAAATCCGTTGCAGTTAGGTGCAGCCAATGAGGTACGACCAACGCTGTACATTGACAAGACAACTAGCACACATCTTTAGCGCAATCCTCTATGGAGCAGAAGCCTCCAGAGATTTTCACGACAGGTGCCTCAAAGCCGCCACTTGTTGCAATGGAAGGAATCGAGAGCCCTATCGGCGGCCACCTAAGCTCGTCACCTTCCGCAAAGGTCCGGTGGCGGCACTTGGACTCGTCACCAGCCTCATGCAGCGAACACTCGCAGACCTTCAGAAACACACAAGGCAAAAAAATTAGTGTCCACGGCGCTGGGCGGAGGAGAGGTGCGGCAGCCAAGCAATACCACAAATACAGCAGCATACGCTTCGAAGCGCTGTTCCGACGACTCCTATCGCCGAGAAAGCCACTGCTGGCGTTCGTATCGGTACAGACATGCCATGGAGAGGGGGGTTGGGTGAAGTAAGCTTTCGTCCTAAGCGAGCGACACTTCAGATTGCATGAACGTCGTATGCTTTTCTGCCAGCACTGTAAGCTCCCCAGAATCTGGTTTCATGACTTAGCATACCCAACTGCAAAAGAGCATGAGAGTTCAGCCACAGACTGTGATCCCATCAAATGGCCAAAACGCCGCCTGGATTTTATCATCCTCATCTTTTTTATTCTCTTTGTTTTAATCATATTTCTCATTTTTTATTCCGTTTTACTTTTTATTTATGTATTTTATTTTATTCCTTTAGTTATCCATTTTTACAAAAAAAGGCAAGGAGATTTCGCCTGGGTTTCGCGCCACCCACCAACAATGACGCCAGCGTCAGCAGGATGATGACGCCGCGAGCGTCCGCAGCGAGCCCCCTCGCCGCCATGATTCTGCGGCCTGGGCCACACAGAACACTCTTTCAGGAACACTGGTACTGTGAAGTGCAGCAAGCACTGTAAAGAACTGCAAGTAACGTAAAGTACAGCAAGTACTGTAAAGTATTTGTACCCGATACCCAGTCAGTCCACATCAGCCGAACAGTCAAGCGCCCACCAAACATCTCGGAGCGTTCGGCGCCTCACCGAGGGGGCAAACACACTAGGCCGGTGGCCAGCGCGAAGCTACCTTCCCTCGCCCCAGGTCGCCTCCCTGCGCGCCGGGACTCCAACCTCCGCGCCATCAGCCCTTCCGGCCATCCCAAACACACTCTCCGCCCAGAATTTCGCTTGCACGCCGCGCCACCGCAGTCGCCGCACTCCCAAAGCGGGCGCCCCATTCTGCAGGCCCTCGGCCGGAGGGCCTTCCCGCAGGAAAACCCCGCCGCCCCTGCGCTGCGCCCCTCCCCACCCCCCGTTTTCCACAATTGCCTGCCCCTCGCATCCAGTTCGGCCGTCCGACGGGTGCATCCGCTCCAGCAGCCAAACCAAGACTGTCGCCCCACGCTTCGGGGACTGGAGCAAATCCCGCCCCGAAACATCAACCCCAGCGCCGCAGACCGAGGCCGCAACGGCTCGCCGCCGCCAGCCCATCATCGCATCACTCGCATCAACGCCAACCACGCGTCCCGCCAAGTGAGGCGACCCCTGTGCGGACTCACCCAGTCCTGCCAAAGGCGGGAGGTGCTCTGCGACAGTCTCAGGCCGCTCGAGCCCGCCCTCGATTCGCCAGCCTCGGGCGGTCGGGCAAAAGGCTGGCCGGGGCGCTCATCGGCCCGCGGTGGCTTCGGACTTCGACCTGCGCCGCCGGCTGTTAGCCGACTCGCCTTTACGGGGCGCGGGGCAAATGCTCGGAGCGGACGGTCAGCCAGTCGCCAGCCACGTGGGCCACTGACGTGGACACCCCGAGTGCCAAGCTCTGACGGCAGTGGCGGTCTCAACAGAGAATGTATTAGTCCCTCTGCCTTTCCCGTGGGGATCCCCTCTTGCGCTGACAAAGCCAACGTGGGTCAGTTTGTCAGTGGTTTGGGGCTTAGGGTGACGAAACAAGGAGGGGTTTTCACGGAAAAGACAGGGGGACTACTTTCATGCAATCTCATTATGCACGGGTCACGAACCACGGATAACTGCTCCTACGTATCAATGCATACCCGATTATCAAGTATCATAGCTGATCACCAATGCTGACTCCGCTGAGCCAGAACCGCTTGAGCCCTGTTTCGTGTCCATTCGCGCCGTCCCTTAACTATGGGCATGCTGAGGGTGCATAGCAGAGGGCCAATTGAATCAAGATCGTCATATGCACAGACGCCTGCCAATTTCATGGAAAACTAACGAGCTTCCTTGAGTGATTGGCACATGCTTACATTGCACGCACAGAGTTCCTGTCAACGGCCCAGCTATAATCAGCACTCATTGGACGAAAGCAGTACCGCAAGGAGGTGTACTGCATATGATCAATGTTTAACAATGCTCGCGCACATGGGATATTTATGCAGGGCTTCTGCCCTTCCCACCTAGTTCACACTCTATTACCATCTTCTGTGATTCGTCCACCTTAGTTCAAAGCACGCAATGGGTACAAATCTGTTCTTTCTAGGAGGTGGTGCATCTATTAATTTTGCTGAACTGTCCTGACGGCGAGCTCAAACGGTGTCACGTGACTGAGTTTCCCAGGCAGGGTCAGCGTGCGTTTCTTTTCGCCTCTGTTCAAATGACTACTGACTCAAATCCAGGAGGTAGCCATTTTCTGAGAATTACTCAAAGAGAAAGATTCATCACAATAGATGGCATGATTTCAGCGATATCCCGGCTACATCGCGATCATCGCCGAAAATTTCCTTGCATTTCCTGCTGGCAAACACCATGTTAAACAGCAGTCATATTGTCTTAGGACAAAATGACTGAATGCAATAGATTTCTTTTATATTCAAGGGGCTGAAAGGGCACTTACACTGACCTGTACAAGGGCAGCTGGCACAAGATTCTATCCCAGCAAAAAGAGTTTCTGTGCTGCGAGGTGCTCAAGGAACCTTTTATATGTCCTCTTTTCTGTCGGTCCATGTTGCTGCAGCTCTTGGCGCATGTGCCTCCAATAACAGTATCTTTAGCTGCAACGCTGTGGAGATGCAACAGATGGCACGTCAAGCAGCAAAGCAGCTTGCCATGGTAAATTACATGGTTAAAATTGCGACAATTCTCATCTTTGTTACTCGCTTTCCGCCAAGCTAGTATGGCCGCGCTCGCAACTAAGCCAATCAGCTCTTTGAAGGGTCAGTGCGAGACCTCAAACTATCAAATCAGTGAAGGCCTCTGTTTCGCGAGGTGTACGTCCTGGACGTGGTGGGATACATGTGGCATGACCACCCACAGTTGCCACCAAGATTCTCAATCGGATTTCCCAGACTAAATGGCAACATTGATATGTAAGATCTGGTGCAATTTCACAAGTTTAGAAATCGCTTGCCGTGTTGCGTGAAACATCTTGTGACTCCATATGCGGCTGTGGACTGATCGTCACGAACATCTTAGGCTTTTCCCAGCTGTGCAGAGTGCATGAGTGTATAAGTATTGTATGTACAAACAAAAGTGCTCTGCACCAAACTCGATTTAAACATTGCAATACACGGTTCCTACCTTGTGATTGCTGACAATCGAGAAAAAACGTTGTACCAGATTACAAGTAAAAAATACTCAAAAAACTGCGAAACTCCACCAAATCATGCGCGACTCTGAATTGTGTACTTTGCACAAATTTCTGCGGCGATGATCTGCATATGCAAAGGAGTAATTATGTAACAGAACAAATAGAATGGCACAGCCCCTGAAGGACTTAACAGAAAACGCTGACGCCTTCTGCATGGCGGCTTACAGGGTGGTTAATTTTGGTATTAACCATTTTGGGTTAATTTGAGGCATAGTGCAAATAACGTATTCTGCGTTAAGCTGTCCGGCCCGGAGGCAGGGCACTGGGAAGTGAAGTTCATTCCAGTTCCGGCAATTTCCGCAGAGCGGGTACCCCTTATCCGGGGCACACCGGGCCCCGGTTGTCACTCGCCGGCCGCCTACCGGTCCGGAGATCGCGCTCTGCAACAATCACTGCAAAACGGAAATTCAAGTCAGAAATGCAGTACGTTGTAGTGCCGCCCAATGCCGCATTTTAAAGTAGATCAAATTTGATCCGCGAATTTCACAAGGCTTCCCTAGAGAAGCCAAGATCTGCCAGATCTTCCCAGCCAGATCTGGCTGCCGAAGTCCCTTGTTGGCACCCGCCTCCTTCTGCTCAACGCGAAGCCGGGGGCCACGCGTCGAATCCATCAGCGGCTGGCGTGCTGACCTGCATTCCGCACAGCCTCAGACGCCTGGAATTAGTAACGTGGTCGTGGCAGGAGCCTGACTGACGTGGAGAATCAGTAACGCGATCTCTGCAGGAGTGCGACGATTGGCGTTGACAGTG